AGGAGGGTCCATGAGGTGTGATACTGGACATGGGTGCAGGTCAGGGGCCTGAGCTCCAGAGCTGACTCACCACTGCTGGCTCTGTGGCCCTGGGCAAGGGCCTTAGCGCCTGAGCGCTCAGGTTCCTCAACTGAGGAGCAAGAAAGGACCTGCTTTACACGGCTGTCCTGGGGAGAAAATGAGTAGATTTATGTTTCGGGTGTGCGGGTTTACTGCACCTGCTCAGATTTAAAAGCTCGTGTTTTTGTTCTGAGGAAGAACAAGTGCTGGGCAGGTGAATTCAGGTGAGATAAGTATACCCCAGAGTGACCAGTACTGAGCAAGGACCAAAGCCTGAAACCTGCCCCGTATGGGGACCAGCAGGCACTCATCACCATGTCGTGGGGCTGAGCAGTGCGGTGAGGAGAGGTGACCTGGGCTCTGTCCCCAGGTTGATGGGTGCTCTTGAAGAGTCTTAAGCAGAGAAGGGACCTATTAACTTCAGAGATGACTGGCTCTAGAGGCCACAGGGACATCTGAGGCAGGAGGGCCACCAGTGGGGAGCAGGAGCGATGTTGGGGCCAGCCTGAGGCATAGCAAGGAGAAGGAGGGGCTGGCCAGACGGGCACAGCAGGAGCCCCAGTGTCAGAGTCTGGAGCAGGGTGTTGGTGGCCTTCACCGGGACAGAGTCTCTGAGAAGAGTCTGTAGGACAAAGCAGTAGGTTCAGTTTTAGACAAGCAGTGCACGAGCAGCGGAGAGACCCCGGCCACGTGGAAAGGACAGGACTACAAGTGAGGGCAGAGCCCACCTGGCTGGGTTCAGTTCACATCTGCTGAGGACCACCAGGGCCATGGGAGTGGGGGCCCTTGAGTGCCAGGGAGGGCGTGGGAATGAAAGAAACTCCAGGGCCCAACAAGATTTCTGGAGCAGCCTCTGTATTCCTGGCACTGTGGTGTGAGTTGTGGGCACAGGCATGAGACAGGTGGAGGCCTAAGGCTGCTTTTGTCCTATGGGGTGGGGAGATCAACAGCGGGGCACTGGCAGCAACCAGGCCTCAGTGGGAAGATGCAGGGAAGAGCCATCCAGGCTGGGGACGTTGACTCCAGCCTGCAGGAGACTGCACAGTGAGCTCCATGGTGAAAACGCCCCTGCCGTGTTCACCCTGAGAAGGGAGAGGTGAGCTTGAACCCAGTTGCCTCCCTGGCTCAGGCACCGTACCTGGGCCTTCGCATCCTGTATCTCGTTTAGTCTTCATAACCCTAAGCATGGGCACTATTTTTATTTCCATTTTAGAGATGTGGAAACTGAGGCTCAGAGAGTTAACAAACTAGCCCAGAATTGTGCAGCCTGGGAGTGACAGAACTGGGTCCCTCCCAAGCCGATCTGTCTCCAAAGCTTGAGCAGGGACACAGAATAGCCAAGGCTTCAGTAGGCTGGAGCTCCACTCCAGGGAGGCTTCTGTCCCAAGCGGACCAGTGCCCAAGGACCGGAACCCTGCCCTGGCTTTCCCAGGCCCCATGCTTGGCTCACACTGGGCCCCCAGGGACTCAGGGCAGCAGATCTGCAAACTTCCCAACAATAAGCATCCATTAAGAGCTATCGGGGATGATATATCTTTCTGGGTAAAGTGACCCTTGTATCATGACAACTCCTTGGCAGCCCTGCTCCATTTCATAAAGAATTAGAAATGCTTTTCTTCCTTAATTCTCCTCTCCTGCTGCTCCTAATCCGATCGACATTGCGGTCTGCAAGAACATGCCTTGGTCTTCTTTTGCCAGAAACTTAATTTACATGGAAAACAGCTGCTGGGTCAGGGAGCCGAGAGCCCATCTTGAGGCTGGGCAAGCCTTCCTCAGGCCTGGGTCCTGGCCCTTCTGGCCTGGAAGGGTGGAAAACCCCTCAGGGCTGACTCTCAGCTGCTGCGTGACGTGGGACTGGGCTCTTGCCTTTTCTGGGTCTGTTTCATCTGGGTAGGACAAGCATTTGAACAAGCCCATCCACGTGCCTCCCCCTCATCCTCCAATATCCTGAGGGCCCATCCATCCCCATTCTGGTTCTGTCTGGGGAGGTGAAGGCGTTCTGAGGTGGCTGTTTCTGGAGACAGCCAAAGGTTATTAGCTGAAGATTTGCTTGGGTTACTGTGAGCATCCCAGCCAGGCTTGCTGTCAGCCAAGCAACCTCTCGTCCACATACCGATGGCCACTACGGGGTGACCAGGTGGGCTCAGCCAGCCCTGTACACAGCACTTCACAAACTGTGTCCCCACCCATCTTCTCATTACTGCTCATGGCTGCCTGGGTGAGGTGTGACTGTTGCTGCTTTATTACATTGCAGGGTAGGCAAGATCCAGAGGGGTCAAGTAATCTGTCCCACAGGAGTAAAAAGAGAAAGAAAGGGATTTGAACTGAGCCCTTCATCCCTGAACTATTGGCACTGCACCTTTTACCCAGAAGGAAGAAACAAGGAATGTAGGAGATGAGGGAGGGGGAAGGAGAGGCACTTGCTGTGTGCTCATGGCATATTACCATGTGTCTGCTGCTGCACACCTGCTGCGTGCCCACTGCATACTGACCATGTGTCTACTGCACACCTGCCGCGTGCCCTCTGCGTACTGACCATGTATCTACTGCACACCTGCTGTGTGCCCACTGCATACTGACCGTGTGTCCACTGCACACCTGCTGCGTGCCCTCTGCGTACTGACCGTGTGTCCGATACACACCTGCTGCGTGCCCACTGCATACTGACCGTGTGTCCGATGCACACCTGCTGTGTGCCCACTGCATACTTACCGTGTGTCCGCTGCACACCTGCTGCGTGCCCACTGCGTACTGACCGTGTGTCCGATGCACACCTGCTGCATGCCCACTGCATACTTACCATGTGTCCGCTGCACACCTGCTGCGTGCCCTCTGCATACTTACCGTGTGTCCGCTGCACACCTGCTGCGTGCCCTCTGCATACTGACCGTGTGTCCGCTGCACACCTGCCGCATGCCCTCTGCATACTGACCGTGTGTCCGCTGCATACCTGCTGCGTGCCCACTGCATACTGACCATGTGTCCGCTGCACACCTGCCGCGTGCCCACTGCATACTGACCGTGTGTCTGCTGCATACCTGCCACGTGCCCACTGCATACTGACCGTGTGTCCACTGCACACCTGCTGCGTGCCCACTGCGTACTGACCGTGTGTCCGCTGCACACCTGCCGCGTGCCCTCTGCATACTTACCCTGTGTCCGCTGCACACCTGCTCTGTGCCCACTGCATACTGACCGTGTGTCTGCTGCACACCTGCCGCGTGCCCTCTGCATACTGACCGTGTGTCCGCTGCACACCTGCCGCGTGCCCTCTGCATACTGACCGTGTGTCCGCTGCACACCTGCCGCGTGCCCTCTGC